CTGCGTAAGCGTAGCACACTTACAGTGAATTTTATCGAAAACCGGAACTTAACTGGAGCAGCGTTTCGAAACCGAAAGACTCTTTTTTCTCGGGATTCCGGGAGCCTTGGGGCTCCCCTCGGGAGCTAAGGGGTTTTCCTAGGGTTTAGGGGTGGTTTGGGGATCTAGAGAGAGAAAGAAATTAGAGAGAGAAGTGATTTTTTGGTGTGAAAATGGAGGCAGCCTCGGCCTCCTTTTATAGCCATGAGGGCCTCGCTACGCTGGGCGTTCAAAAGCTCTACGCGGGGCGTAGCTCCGGATAAGGCAGACAGGTGGCAAGCTTCGGACGGGGCGACGTGGCTTAAGCTGGACCGAGGAGTGCAAGGCATACATGACGCGTACCCGAGCTCGGACGCTAGGCGTAATGCGAGGGTGACGCGTCCTTCATCCGAAGCGAGACTGTGCTCAGCAAGCGATGACTGAGATTTGGCCACGTCATCGCATCTAGCAACAGCTTTGCAAATTCGAGTTTAAACTTTAAAAATTCGTAACTTTCGCGTACGACCTCCGTTTTTGACGTTCTTTATATCCACGCGAAGGTGGGAACGTACTCTACAACTTTCATTTAGACTCCATTGGCTAGTTTAAACTCGATTTTAAATTTTATATTATTAACAGACCGATATAGGATTGGTCCGTTAAATCCTCATAACTTCTTCATCCGACGTTCGTTTTCGCCCATCTTTTTCTCGTTACACTACTCTTAACGAGATCTTCGATTCTCGTTTAGGTCATGTCGGCTAAAAATCACTCGATCTAATATTCAATTTTTGGGTTGTACACTGCTAATCCGAAACTTCGAAAAATCATAACTTCTTCATACGAAGTCAGATTTGGGCGTTCTTTTTATCGATGTTCTTAGTTTAACATATTCTACGACTTTTGTTTAGATCGCTAAGGCTAAATCTCGTTCTATCGTAAATTCACTATTTACGCTCCCCGGTGCCGTGCCGGTTTCGTCGCGAAACTTCGACGGGTCATAACTTCTTCGTTATAACTCGGATTTCGGCGTTCTTTATATGTACGGAAACCTTGTGAAATATTCTAAAACTTGGTAAAGATTATTTATTCTAAATAATATTTTGTCGAAAAGTTGTTTTCGACCCCTATTGCCTCTAATTTGACTAGCCCGGATCTGCGGGCGTTACACCCAAGCCCATATTCATTTCCTAATAGCCCCAAAAGTCCCCTATTGCTAATGGGACCAAAGCCCATGTCCAAAAATCATTAATGGGCGTCATGGTCCAATAAAGCCCAACTATAATAATCATGGCCCAAAACAAATAAATTGGCCCACTGACTCAACACATGACCAGGCCCAATGACTGATTAAGGCCCAAAGGGCGTACAAGCCCCAAATAACTCCAAGTCCATCTGAGTGCGTATGCCCTGCGTACCACTCCTGTACGTTTAACATACTGAGTCCCTGAGTTGTATGCAATGCGTATGCCATACTATGTCTAACGTACAAGCTGATTAAGCACCTTCTTCCATTAAGTGCTTAATACTTGATGTTCCAACGTCCAATATTTAGATATGAGTCCATCAAGATGTCCTAATGCATAAAATTGGCAACTTTATGCATTTGCATGTTCCATATGATCCCAACAACCCATTAAGACCTTCCCAAGAGTCTTAATCCATGCATGAGGTCAAAACACCCATCAAGACTCCATTTTTATTCTATGAATGGACCAAAGGACTTCAGATGTATCCTATCTAAGCTCCAGAGTTGCTCAAACTTTCAAAAGGTGGTCCAAGAACACGAAAAAGGGACTGAAGAGAAAACCCTAGAATTAAGAATGAAAATGATGACCACTGTGAAAGCTTTTTACCTCCTCAAGCTTCATAATTTGTTCAAAATGTAAGATCTAGAAGCTCTTCCTCATTTAAGCTTGAATCCTCCTCTTCCTTGCAGCTAACACACCAAACGGATGGTGTTTAAACACTCTCAAGCTCAAGAACATGCTTTCTAATGATTTTAGGGTTTTCAAGGTCATTTGAGGGTGAAGGAGGCTGGTTAGGGTGAAGCTCAAATGAGATAAGGAGGCTTATATAAGTTTTAAGTCCAGAAATTAGGGTTTGAACATTCGTCACGTACGCCCCACGTACCCTTTGGTACGCCAAGCGTACGTGCTGGCCCTCCGTGATCATCTATGCATGGTACGCTAAGCGTACTCCTGAAGTACGCCCAACATACTTAAGGGACCATTATGCAATACCTAAAATTTCAAAGGCTCAAAGGGTAATATCTGATTTGGAGTGTTACAAATTAGAGCATCGTGCATTTTGGGCGGTCAAGCAATGCAATTTCAATACTAATAAGGCGGGAAAACATATGAAGCTTCAACTTCAAGAGTTAGAAGAATTGAGAAACGACTCTTGTGAAAACTTAAGAATTTACAAGGAGAAAACAAAGATTTTCCATGACAAGTCCATCATCTGGAAGCATTTTGAACCAGGACATAAGGTTTTACTTTACCATTCATGATTGAAGTTATTTTCGGGCAAGTTAAGATAAAGGTGGATTGGGCCTTTTGTTGTGATCAAAACTTTCGACCATGGAGCAGTAGAAGTTCAACGTGAAAAGACGGGACAAATTTTCAAAGTTAATGGGCATCGTTTGAAGCCATTCTATGAAGGTTTCAATGCAAATGCTCTTGAAATCATCCATTTGGATGTCCCGATGTGTTGAAGCAAGCTAGGAAGACGTATCGCCAAAGACGTTAAAGAAGGGAAATTTTGGAAAGCATTGTGCTTTCATCTTTTTCCAAATCCAATAAATTATTTTAAAAAGCATTTTTGGGATTTTGAAAAATAATTTTTTTTGAAAGGTTTTACATTCCATATTTGTTTTTGTTCCTAACTTTTGTCAAAATTTTGAAATCGGGCATTGCGGGAATCATTTTGCCCTAAAAATCAAGTTTTTGGAAAATTTAATTTTTTTTGAAGTACAGTAGGTTCATGCGACCCACATGTATCTTTAGCATTGATCTTGCGCGACCCACGTAAGGCTTCATGCAGCATATGTGTGACCCATTTCCTGACCGCATAGACGAAGCGTATACAAGTATGTTCAGTACATGCGACCTATGTGCGACCCACGTCCCACCCGCACAAATCTTCCAAGACTTGGCGATTTTTTCAAGTTCAGCAAGCGCGGCCTCCGAATCGGTTCCATGTGGCCCGCATGATGGCACAACATTCTCCATTCATTGTTTTCCACACTTTTGATATTGTTACTTTGGTAATTTGACGTTATAATTATATGATGGTTTTGGAACAACTTGATACCGTAACTCTTGTTTAAAAATGAAAAAAATTATTATGGTTTTTGGGGAATTATAGATGTATGCGTTTGTATGTATATCGGGCGGGGCCCGATGCTAGGTGGGGCCTGATGAGTGTGTTGGGCGGGACCCATCGCATGTTATTGTCATATCTGTTCCGGGCGGGGCTCGATGCCGTGCGGGGCCAGATGGTTATTAGGCAAGGCCTATTGTATGTATGCTATGGGGTATTTTAGGGAACACACTTAGCTATGTGCTTAGGATTTTCAGTTTATGTTTAAGGTACTTTCAATTCAAGGGGAAGAGCTCGGATGATCGCATCGCACACACCATAATTTTCCGCTTTATTACTATGATGTATTTTGAATGACTATTGATACATTATGATTTCCATGTGGTTTTGATAAACACGTTTGACCGATGTTTTATTTAATATAAAAACAGAATTTTTAGTTATGAGTTTTGAGATGTTACAATACCAGTAGTTATAAATAACACTAAATCGAAAGTTTCATTCAATTTTTTTCACATGCGGTCGATAGGTGGAGCCAATTGAGATGGTTAGCCCTAAAACCTAGTTTAACTTGGAGCGGCACATTTGCTTTTTTATGAAACAAACTTGTTTTGCATATATAACCTATCTATATGACCGAAATACATGTTGTGAACTACTCAAGTCTTGCGACTAATTACGAATATGAGACCTTTTATGACATTCATATAATCGTTTTCACAACAAAACGACATGACTTTAATGTCCATATCATCATTTCATTGCTATGAGTACACCATTTATAAATGTACTTACTTAATCGATGACATACATTTGCTTTTTTACGAAACAAACTTGTTCTTCATATATAACCTATCTATATGACCTAACTACATGTTGTGAACTACTCAGGTCTTGCGACTAATTACAAATATGAGACCTTCTATAACATTCATATAATCGTTTTCACAGTAAGACACCATAACTTTAATGTCCATATCATTGTTTCATTGCTATGAGTACACCATTTATAAATGTACTTAACTGATGACATACATGGACACAAAGTTACCTTGTTCCTTACTAATGAATGTATCAAATAAGCATAGATCATTTGTTTTGTGGTATCTGTGTTCTTAACGATATTTTATTGCCTATGATATAGAAATACATCTTGCGCTAAACAACTCAAGAACCGTAAATACTTATCAGGAGAAGACTTCACATGTAACACATAAATGAGTTAAATAAACATTAGAAATTACATCATTAAATATTGCCAAGTCGAATATAATATATAAAAACTGATAACGACAACTCTATCGAATGTAATATATAAAAACTGATAACAACAACTATATTACGATACACAAATACAAGTAAGATCATCGAAAAGACAAATTGATAAATTGCTTGTCAAAGCCCATATTGTTTTCATTTGTGTATTAACATTAAATATATAAGTGTTTAATAATGATTGTATTTAACGAAATATCTATGAGTTGAAGACCTTAATTGATAAATAGACCATATTCTTTACCCACCCACTACACATTCAACCCCAAACTTGCCCCTTTTCACTTCCTGCCGCTTAACAACCCTCTCCGTAAAATTCATATATAATCAACTTGCAGCCCTTTTGGTTGCCCAGCTCTCTATCTTTATCCCTATTCCCAAATCAATATTATAATCTTTTTTTTTTTTTTTTTTCCCCATTTTAATCGTCATTCATCTTCATATATATAGGAAAATCAGTTTTGTCTACAGATTTCCCCTTTTTTCTTCTTTGTAATCCTCTGCAATCGAATTCCGAATCGACGGAGACAAATTAGCCATGGTGGAAACAAGGCGGAGTTCGTCTTCCTCGAAACGCACGCTATCATCCCCATGTTCGTCTCCTATCCCAACCGGGAAAAGATCAAAGGTATCGTTAATTGGGGGTTTGTAAAAGACTTTGTTTGTGTTGAATTTTATATCGAAAATTTAATTTTTGGCGATCGGTGGTTGCAGGCAGCGGAGGCGGCATCTTCGTCTACTACCGGGACACCGGTGGAGCCCATTGAGGCGGTGGTGAAGGAATCCGGTGGATGCGAGTCTCAAGAACAGGAGGTCCGATCTTCTGATCCGTCCAAGAAAGACTCCGATGCCTGTGACGAAGTGCCCGGTGTTGACGTTCCTGAAAAATCTCCGGTTGTTCAAGTGGAAGGACAGCCGTTGGTCTCGCCTATGTCTCTAGGTGGGATTGAGGTTACATGAATTTGTAAAAACTTGTTGCGGGGACTGGGATATCTTTCTACAGCTCTTGATCTTTCTTTCTTTCGGATTGATTTGTAGGTGATTCGTTAATAGATGTAGAGAAGACGAAGGCGAATGGTGGTTCAACTGTGTTGAATCGTACCAAGAAAAGACAGTCAAAATCTAATGTTGGGGTTGCGTGGGGAAAGCTTCTTTCCCAGTGCTCACAGGTAGGTCTTTCAACTGTTATTTTCATGCAATGATAAGAGCCTAATGTGTTTCTTTTCTGATGTCCAGAACCCTCATGTTGTCATGGATCGTCCCATTTTCACTGTTGGTCAAGGTCGCCAATGTGATCTGTGGATCGGTGATCCGAACATCAGTAAATCATTGTGTAGCCTGAGGCACATAGAGTCACAGCAAGGAGGCGCATCGATCACTTTACTTGAGATCACTGGCGGCAAAGGTGTTGTGAAAGTCAATGGCAAGACATGCACTAAAAGGTCAACCTTACCACTTAAAGCTGGAGATGAAGTGATTTTTAGCTCTTCGGGAAGGCATGCTTATATATTTCAGCAGCTATCGAATGATAATGTTGGTGCAGATGGGGCACCTCCCATGAGCATATTAGAAGCACATAGCGGGTCATTAAAAGGGTTACAGTTTGAGGCAAGATCTAGAGACCCATCAGCAGTTGCAGGAGCTTCAATATTAGCATCTTTGTCTAGTATTCAGAAAGAGTTATCTCTACTCCCCCCTCCTTCTCGTAAAGGCAAAGGCTTACAAACCGGAATGCCAAATCTACCCTCTGTCTGTGATAATCGTGCAACTGATACAGAAATGAAAGATGCTGCTGATGTGGCACCATCGAATGAGAAAGGTGCTAACGAGAATGTTGATGGTGTTGGTGTTGGGGACACAGGGAATGCCCCTGGCCCTGCAGCAACTCATGAATTAAGGCCATTACTGAGAATGCTTGCAGGATCCACTGCTTCTGAGCTGGATATTTTGAAAATTATTGATGAGAGGAAAGAAATTAGAGAACTGCTTAAGGAAATTGATCCACCCATCTCATTAGCAGCAAGGCGTCAAGCATATAAAGATAGCTTACTACAAGGGATTCTCAGCCCCGATGCAATTGAAGTTACATTTAAAGATTTCCCATATTACTTAAGGTGCAACCACTGCCTTACTTTTTTATTACCTCTTTTTTGTACTTCCCATCTGCTGTGAATTTAGAGAATTGTTGGATATATCATATATCAATTCTTTTAGAAGCAATAATAATTTAGGCGTATAGGCATGTGGATGATGAGAATTGCATGTGATGATTACTGTCAATAGAATTGATTGTACAAAATAGATGATGTCTATGTCTATCCCTGGGAGCCATATCAGGTTAACGTGAGGGCTGCTTCTTTTTTCTTATCAAGTCATGGCTGTATACATAAGGTCTGTTTTAGTTTTTTCTAGACTGAAATACTGAATAAATCATCTGAATGAAGCTAAATGATCATTTAAACAAACATTTTTCACAATATACATCAGTTTTAACAATATTCATCAACTTTAATGTGGTAGTTGTGTGGAAGGTATAAGAAGGGCAAATAGGTAAAGGCTTAGTGTCTTAACATAAAGAGCCTGTTTTTTTTTTTAAAAAAAAAAGCCATGAAGTCATTCTGTTCAGATTAAGTCAAAAAGAATACTTAACCCATAAAGTTCATTAAGTGATTCGTACATAACAATTTATGCATTATATAGTTGTACAATGCAACATTTTAAAGCACCAATTGTTGTGTATGGATCAGTTCCCTTAAGTAAAAGGAACAGCCTACATATATGATATTTTTTGGTTTTAATGTAACACAAACATGGAACCTTATTGTGGCGATATTTCAACTCTAATTTAGTTTTGGATGCCTTCACAGATTAATGTTTTTAGCCTAGGGATTAAGGATTAAATTTGCTCTGATTTGCATCCCCGAGTAGGCTATGCTCCTATATGATGCATTGGTTTCCACTTTTCTTCTGTCTGTATTTGCCTTTTCTTTTCTGGCTGATGATTAAACTTCACAAAGAACTACTTTTTCAGGATTTAGCTTTTTTTTTTCTAGCTTGCTTGACATTCAAATAGGTGTAATGAAAGTGGATCACATATGTGATTCTATGTGCTCTATTTCAATTTTTTGTTAGTTCTTTGTGAAGTTTACCAAAAGCTGTTTTCATTGATGTAATTTAATTTTTACTTCTTAAGAAAACTATATGAACAAGGCGGAATTCTTTCTGCTTTAAATGTTACTAATAGGAAAAACTGATAAAGTAGTCATTGTAATATCTCAGTTTTCCTCATTTGCATCACTGGTTGAAAGGCTTTTTATTGCAATGAGACAGCAATCCAATGGTGTTTTGAATAAGAACCTGGATTAGATCCATAACCATCTTTTGGCTTAGATTGTATTGATTCAAAAGCTAGAAATTGCAGCTAACATAATTTATTAGAGTAATTAAAATATCGTTTAGTTAATTGCTATAAAAGATATTGAGCTGATTAAATACTTTTTTTTTTTTTGTGAGGATAAATGATCAAACAAATAATGAAGTAAAGATGATGATAATCAAAAGAACATTGATGCTTGTTGGCTTTCTCAGCAAAATAACAATAGTTGTTTTTGCCTTTTTAAGGGTGCCCTACTTTTTTGGTTACATTACTATTTCTTTTGAAACATGCAGTGAAACAACAAAAAGTGTATTGATTGCCTCCACATATCTCCATCTGAAACGTAATGATTTTGTGAAGTATGCCTCAGATCTGCCTACTTTGTGCCCTAGAATACTCTTATCTGGTCCAGCAGGTACTGTGTTCAATTGGTTTACATCAAAAGGCTCTTGCTTTGAATACTCTTTAACTTTGAATTGCATGCGTGTCCTCACAACACAACACAACACAACACGAAACAGGTTCAGAAATATATCAAGAAACATTGGCAAAGGCTCTTGCAAAGCATCTAGATGCTAGACTGCTTGTAGTTGATTCTCTTTTATTACCTGGCGTAAGTCTTCTATCTTCCAATTCACAATTCCTTTTTAATGACTGGGTATATATAGATATTTTGATAGAATTTCTGGTAACAGGGATCAGTTGCTAAGGAAACAGAGACTTCACTAAAGGAGAGTAGTAGGCCTGAAAGAGCAAGTGTGTTTGCTAAACGGGCCCCACAAGCAGGGGCTATGCACTCGAAGAAACCGACATCAAGTGTTGAGGCTGATATAGTTGGTGGATCCACCACAGGCCCTCATGCTCAGCCAAAACAGGAGGCATCTACCGCATCATCAAAAAGCTACACCTTCAAGAAAGGTGATAGAGTTAAATATGTGGGTTCCTTGTCATCTGGTTTTTCTCCTTTGCAGACTCCCTTAAGGTATTTTATTTTAGCTTCTACATCATGAAATTCTTGATATTTTGTAATCTCTCCAGAGATATTTACTTTTTTTTTTTCTTCTTCTTCTTCTTCCTCTAGGGGGCCAACTTATGGTTATAAGGGCAAAGTTCTACTTCCATTTGAGGAGAATGGGTCCTCCAAGATTGGAGTAAGATTTGATAGGTCGGTTCAAGAAGGGAACGATCTTGGAGGAATCTGTGAGGAAGATCATGGCTTTTTTTGTTCTGGTACTTGCAACTATTGGATATTGTAGTTTAATATTTTGGTTATTGTTCATTATTAGTGAAAAGTAAATTGGTATTAAACTTTTTAGTGGATTATTATTATATGCAGCTGATTCGCTTCGCCTTGATTCTTCGAGTGTCGATGACATTGAGAAGCTTGCCATTAACGAACTTTTTGAGGTGATTCTTTCTATAATACAGTAGTTGCATATTTGAAATTATCATATTACTTTTTTTGGTTGTTTTTTCACTCTAGCATGAGACTGAATTTGTGTGAGGTGTATATCATTCATCTTTTATAAAATCTGTGCTTGTTGTAATTAGAAAAAGTAAGGCCTTGCACTTTAATTTCAACAAGAACACTAGTCTGGTCTGGGGTTTGCCCTAGAATGAGATGTTGAAAGGATGTGAAAGACTTGAGCATAGATGTTATGCATCAACTTCGGTCCCATATGTTAGATAAGGGCAATATGGGAAAATCATTAAATAAAGATAATCTTATTAGTGCAGGGGCATTTTATATTAGTTAATTTGTTATGACAGATAGTATAAGAAGAGGGTAGTGGGCAGGGAGTGGGATATCAATCTTTTTGTGAAATCTGAATTTATTCCTCTGGGAGATTGGCTATCTCGAATCAGCTAAACTATCTTCATTCTTGTAATCATTTGGTATTATCGAGTGTTTTTCAATCAATATTAGAATCCTTGATTGTTTTATGTTATTGAATCTGGTCTTAGAATCCAGTTCATAACAAATGGTATCAGAGCATTCATCTGGGATTAGGGCTGGAGATAAAGGAAGGAAGGAGGCTGGAGGAGCTCAACTCAAGAGGGTTGAGTTGCTAGAGACAGAATTAGGGCATGTGTACGATCGAAGGGAGAATCCAGGGCATCTGATCCAACATACTGCTGACTCCATAGCCTCTCTTCAGCTGAAGATGGAGCAGAAGTTCGAAGAGGTTTTGATGGCAATAGCCAAGAGCCATCCAGAAGAACCAAATGGAAAGAAATCAGTGGGAGAAGAGCACAGCAGCGACCCTGTTTTTTCGCGGGTGGAGACAACGAAAGGGACAAACCCTACGGGATTCAGTGGAGGTTCAAGAAATGGAACAGGAGGTGGTTCCGACGGCGGTGGCGGTGGCCATACAACCGGAGGCGAATACAACGGAGGAACCAACTGGAGAATCAAGAAGCTGGAGATACCACTATTTAATGGAAATAATTCGAATGGCTGGGTTCTTGAGGCAGAGAGAAGATTTGTAGATTATCAATTAGCAGAAGTAGAAAAACTGGAGAATAGACAGGAAGAAGCGTTTTTAGGGTTTTGCAAAAATGGGCCTAAAATTGACAATTGGGCTGAAACTAACACCTTGGGCTCACATAAACCGAATCAGGAAAGCGACTTGTTTAATAATAAAAACTCCATTTTGCAAAAATGTAGTCTAACTACCACAGTTGATTGATGCTGGTAGTGGTAAGCACTTCCATAACTACTACAGTTGATATTATATAATATGTAAAATCATGAGTTGATACGAAGTGAATATGGAGTGGAGTGGTTGATGAGAAATGTGTGCTGCAAATGGATTATATAATGGAACTTTGCATTAGCACTGCCATGCCAACTCAAATGCTTGTAGGTAATGAAGCAAGCAGTTGAAAAAAGGGCAACATGAGAAGGAAAAAAAATCAATGAGGGCAAATTTGTAAAATGCTACCTTATCCCGAGTTGTTTATACTTTATATATACATAGGCATCAGATAAGATTAAGTCCTGTCCATTAATTAAGTGAAAAAGAAACTGTAGGTGCCTGACATATCTGTTATGCTAAGCTAAAACTGCATAAGAAGCTTTGAAACTCAGATGGTTGATGGTTGAGTGAGTTGAAAAGTGTATTTGTATGCAGGTTGCTGTAAAAGAAAGTAAAAGCAGTTCATTGCTTTTGTTTGTGAAAGATATAGAGAAATCAATGCTGGGAAATCCAGAGGCGTATGCTTCCTTCAAGAGCAAGCTTGAAAATGCACCTGCTAATGTGGTTGTTATTGCTTCACATACTCAAATGGACAGCCGCAAGGAGAAAGTAAGTCTTCCTTTAGAGTCTCTTCCATTCCATTCCATCATATTCCTATTCATATTAACATTTTAATTTTGCAGTCTCATCCTGGTGGATTACTCTTCACAAAGTTTGGGAGCAATCAGACCACACTGCTTGACTTGGCTTTCCCGGTACTATTACTGCTATAAGATGCTCTGAATTCTGATAAATCAATCACATCACATCACATCACATGTATATATATATATATATATTTCAATGTAATAAAAATATTTCCTATATATATCATTCAGGATAGTTTTAGTAGACTTCATGATAGAAGCAAGGAAACTCCCAAAACAATGAAGCAGCTCACCCGACTTTTCCCAAACAAAGTCGCCATACAGATGCCTCAGGTAATTATTTATTTTATTTTTTTTGTTCTTTCATAAATGTTGGTGGACCTCAGTTAACCTTGTGATAATGATGGTAGGATGAAGTGCTGCTTTCAGACTGGAAGCAACAACTGGATCGTGACATAGAGACCTTAAAATCACAGTCAAACATTGTCAGCATCCGTGCAGTAAGTATTCAAAACTCACATATATATATATATATATATATATATATATATATATTTCATTCTAATAATTATATTATTTCTGATGTCATGATGTTTAGGTTCTGAGTCGAGTCGGTCTTGAGTGCTCTAACCTTGATGAACTATGTGTAAAAGATCAAACCTTGACTAACGAAAGTGAGTAGAGTAGTACATCTCTGATTCTTACCAAGTTTTTTAATTTGGGTTTTTGATTAATTTTCACTCTTTTGGATGTTGATAGGCGTGGAGAAAGTAATTGGATGGGCTTTGAGTCATCACTTTATGCAGAGTTGTGAAGCTTCTGCTAAAGATGCTAAACCTGTGATTTCCAATGAAAGGTACTAACTAGCAATAGCCAATAGCATGCATGCTTATTTTGTGATATATGTTTATAATTCATACATTTTTCATCTTTTATGTTGTGGTTTGCAGTCTCGAGTATGGGATCAACATACTGCAAGGAACTCAAAACGAGAGCAAAAGTTCTAAAAAGACACTGAAGGTAGGTTATGGTTAATTACAGTTATACATGCACTAGTTGTGAGACCCATGTATTACATGGGTTAATTTCAAAAAAAAAAAATTAAATATAAATGTCAAAATATTTGACAACTTAAAAAAAATAATGAATTATTATAATGGAAATGTTTTTATCTTTTAAATTTAAACAAATAAATAAACAAAAGAAGAATAATGAGTTTTAATTTTGGGACTCTTGAAATTAAAAGGTAAGCTGATTAATGAAATTGATATCATAAAATGACATTTGAGAAAGAATTAATTCAAAATAACCACAAAATAACATTTGGCAAATTGATTGAGAGTGTGACAAGTGGCAAAAAAAACTTTGGTTTATTAGAGTAGATTTTATGCATGTAATAATTGAAGTTTTTATTTTTTATTTTTTTAAATTGAATAATGTGTGATGGATGACATAAACAATTTTTATTATTCCAATTCCAGGATGTGGTTACTGAAAACGAATTTGAGAAGAGACTGCTAGGTGAAGTTATTCCTCCTGGTGATATTGGTGTTAGCTTTGATGACATTGGAGCTCTTGAATCTGTGAAGGATACCTTGAAAGAGTTGGTGATGCTACCTCTTCAGAGGCCTGAGTTGTTCTGCAAAGGGCAGCTAACAAAGGTAACCACAACACAAGTTGAAGCTGTTAATAGTAGTATATGGATGTGTTTTCATTAATAATAATAATAATAATAATAATAATCTGTTGTGTTTATGATTATGTTTTGTGTAGCCTTGTAAAGGAATCTTGCTGTTTGGACCCCCGGGTACTGGTAAAACAATGCTTGCAAAAGCTATTGCAACCGAGGCTGGTGCAAATTTCATCAACATATCGATGTCGAGCATAACTTCCAAGGTATTGTTAATTTAAAATATAAAAAATATTGTTTTTTTGGTAGATAACATAACTGATGATGATGATGATGTGTGTGTGAAGTGGTTTGGTGAAGGAGAGAAGTATGTGAAAGCTGTTTTCAGCCTTGCTAGTAAAATCGCACCGAGCGTTGTTTTTGTTGATGAGGTAGGTCGTAGGTGTAGGTGGTAGTGACATTAGATGTACGAGTGATGATGATTGGTGATTGATTGATAGGTGGACAGCATGCTGGGAAGACGTGAAAACCCGGGGGAGCATGAAGCAATGCGTAAAATGAAAAACGAGTTTATGGTGAATTGGGATGGCCTCCGTACAAAAGATAGAGAACGGGTGCTTGTACTCGGTGCAACCAATAGGCCTTTCGACCTCGATGAAGCTGTCATCCGCAGACTGCCTCGCAGGTACAACATAAATTTCATATATATATATATATATATATATATATATATATATATATATATAAATCTTTTCATATAATAATATTTAACAAAATGCATTTTCATTTTCTTTTCAGGCTGATGGTAAATCTACCGGATGCCACCAACAGGGAGAAAATTTTAAGAGTCATATTGGCAAAAGAGGAGCTGGCACCTGATATGGATCTTCAAGCAGTCGCTAGTATGACAGATGGCTACTCAGGAAGTGATTTGAAGGTCTTCCTTCCACTTCCATGCTACACTTGTTTGTTTACCTTTTTTACTCTTTTTTTTTTTTTTTTTTTTTTTTTTTTTTTTTTTATAATTATTTTTGTTTTTCAGAATCTTTGCGTGACAGCTGCCCACTGTCCAATTAGAGAGATATTAGAGAAGGAAAAGAAGGTTTGTTTTCTATATTTACAACTTTTTATTATTAATTTATTTTTATTAATATTTGGTGCATTGTTATTATGCAGGAGAAAGCTTTGGCATTGGCAGAAAATAAGCCGGTACCTGCTTTACGAAGCAGTGTGGACGTTCGCCCACTAAATTTGGATGATTTTAAGTATGCACATGACCAGGTAATCTATTCAAACTCTTATTTATTCATTTATTTAGTAAAAGTGAAAAGAATGGTGATATTTATATTATGTATCAGGTATGTGCGAGTGTGTCGTCTGAGTCAGCAAATATGAACGAGCTTCTGCAATGGAATGAGCTATACGGTGAAGGTGGATCCAGGAAGAAAAAGCTTCTCAGTTACTTCATGTAGACACCACACCACACAACACCCACACGAGTGTATGAATCAGCAACTATCAAGTGTATAGCAGTCCTCCCTTTGTTTACTTTTTTACAAATTAGTTTGGGATAAAAAAAAAAAAAAAGACAGACAGACAGACAGAGACTTGTTGGTTTACATTTCTATCATAAAATGCCCACCCCACCCCATCCCACCCTCGTATACAAAACAACGACCTGTATCAATGGAAATTCCTTTGCAGGTTTGCCAACCAAGAGATTTTTTTTCCTTGCGCTGAGTTGAGCCGCTCTCACTCTCGTATGTGTATTATATACTACTTTAGTTGTTGCCTCCCTCCCTTGCTTTCAAATCCATATTTATTTCATTTGCCTTGCTATTCTTAAAATTTTTTTATGCCTCCTGTATGTATCTATCCATTTAGACACTAATAACTAATTTGCTTGTTTTATTTTTACATTCAGTGCCATTCCAAACTTGTTTTAGTTTGCAAATGAGTATGGGATTGAATTGCCTAAAACTCTATCAACTAATGGACTTCAGTTTTTGCCTTTTTATTTTTTGTTAAAGTTACTTTTATTACCCTCGGTATGCTTATTATTTCCATTTCATTTACTGCTGATCAATTGCTTAATTCTTTCAGGTCTCAAATCCTTAAAAGTTCTATTTTTATTTGACAGCCTGCCAAATCAAAGTATCATAATAAATGTTAAAAACAATACAAAAGTACCCAAGCTCTTCATAACACAATGCGCGTAAGTATCTATTAGTTTTAAATTTATAACCTAACTAAATTAATTTATGCACATTGTTATGTGCCTAGTTAGATTATAGAATAACTTAGATAAGACGGTGTAGAACACATACACATGGATCAAATTTTAATTAATTAATATAACTACTAATTAAACTAAGAAAACAAACTTAAAGTGGGGTTTTTACTGATTTTGCAAGATCAGAAGAAATTAATTCAAATTACTAACTAAATTAATTTATGCACATTGTTATGTGCCTAGTTAGATTATAGAATAACTTAGATAAGACGGTGTAGAAACACATACACATGGATCAAATTTTAATTAATTAATATAACTACTAATTAAACTAAGAAAACAAACTTAAAGTGGGGTTTTTACAAAATCAGAAGAAATTAATTCAAATTACTAACTAAATTAATTTATGCACATTGTTATGTGCCTAGTTAGATTATAGAATAACTTAGATAAGACGGTGTAGAACACATACACATGGATCAAATTTTAATTAATTAATATAACTACTAATTAAACTAAGAAAACAAACTTAAAGTGGGGTTTTTACTGATTTTGCAAGATCAGAAGAAATTAATTCAAATTACTACCAAAGTAACGACTAAATAAGCAAATTCCGATTTTCTACCAAATTAACGACTAAATAAGCAAATTCCGATTTTCTCTTCTCCTAAGGTTGATTTATAATAGATAGAATATATTGATTATAAATTCATTAACTAGTTATTATGATCAAACATCTAGATGTATCAATTTATGAATTACCTTGTAATGGTCAAGCACAAGCTAAACACTAAAATTGATATAAGCATAAATTAGATTAGATGTATCAATTTATGAATTACATTGCAATGATCAAGCACAATCTAAACACTAAAATAATATAAACACAAATTGGACTATGAATGATAAATATAATAACTACTTTTATATAATCAAGTTAAGCAACCAATCACAAATTAAGATTAATTATGCTCTTTAACATAGTTAAAGTTACTAGCTTTAATTATCTGGTCTAAGATGTAATTAACACTAGCACTAATATTTAACGATCATAAACAATTAGGTAACAAATTCATGCAACTAGATTGATCATCTACCACAAAGAACTTGATTAATAGACAATATAAACTAGAACTTCAACATGATAAAATTTTAATTATCAAACACAAGTAAAATCAATTTATAACATCCAAAAGTCGAAATCAACACAATAAGGTTAGATTCATCTTCACCAAATAAAAATATAAGGTTTTTAGCCTCTCATACTAACAGAAAAACACACAAAATCCATGCAAATAAGATTAGACATAAGTAATGTTTAGCAAACCGAATAGACATGTAGATTTCTTTTAGACCTCTTCAATTCTTGAGCTCCAATTGAATTCTGATCGTCAAAGGGTTTTCCATAAGGTTTTAGTTGCAATCCTCCTTAGAAAACCGGCCAGAAATCCCCCCATTCGATCTAATGTTGAAAACGTCCAAGGCGTGTCATCATGGTTCTAAAAAGCGCCTCAAGGTGCAAGGTGTGGTGTTGCCGTTACGAAAACGTCCAAGGCGGGTTTGTTAAGCGTGACGTCCAAATAACGTGTCAAGATGAGCTTTATCGCGTTATGACACGAGTTTTTTTCAAGGCGCAAGTTTTTTTGTTTTTTTTTTTTCTTTTCTTTTTTATCGGGCCTAAAATAAATGAGTTTTTATTAACTTTTTTTTTTTCTATTAGATATTAATATAACACTTCTAAAAACTTCATATATTTGATAAAATTCAATAATTATGTGCTTTATATCTTTTAATGTATATAATATAGCCACGCATTGAAAAACGTTATGGCTCGCCAAAGCTTGCAATGACTTAACTTTTACTTTGCTTACAAATCACTTACGTTATTTAGAACATTGGTTGTCATATATCTGATCACAACATCGTGATGAATAGGAACCACGTGGTAGTCTTCATAGATATATCGTATTTTCCAAGTTAGCATTAATGATCGTGAATCTTCCATTTGTCATGTCGTGGTGGATGATCACGACACTTGGTCTTCTGTCTTCAAGCATTATTTATCTTCTTTTTCACTTAGCTTGCATTTTCCTGCTTCCAGCTCATCATTTCCTTCATTTTCATCCTGAGCATGTCTTTGCTACTATAAAACAAATTTCAACCATAATAAATACCTTATGTTCCAAAATAAGCATTATAGTATTTAGAAGTATTAGAAATATGCACGAAATATATAACTAAATATGATCATATCAACCTCCATAGACCATATATGCAATTCATAGGCTTTGAATCCTTTCAATGTTTTTTTTTTTTTTTTTCACTTGATGTCGAAATGTGTCTTTTATTCGCAAGAAAAAAAAACGTGTTTGTAATGGAAAACTTTTTATCATAGTGGTATGGACATGCATACTTATTTCATGTTGAGAAAATAAATATCATAATGATTTTGATATTTATGGTTAATGTTATAATTTGATAACAAACTACTTGAGATGTAAAAAAAATTTCATTATCTTAAAAAACATATATCATAAAAAACTAGAATATTTTGTTCACAAAAAGCAATTTAGCTAAAACTATGTTGTGAGCAACATGTACAATTTGCTTACCTTTGAAGTATTTTATTTAACAATGATATGTGTTGGCGTACCAACACTAATTATAGTAATGTAAGCGATTTTCAAGCAACCTTATATCTTTTCATATAAAAAAACCTATGATTGTCATGGACAACCTTTTAACACATTAGTATGGACAATTATGCTTCAATTACGTAGAGAAAATAAATATCATAATGATTTTGATATTTATGGGTAATTTTATAAATGTATAACAAACTATTTGGCCATTTACGATTAAAAAAAGAATCTAAATTTGACAATTTTCATGGAATGGTAGATCAGATCGGATTTTGATCCCGATCCTATGATTTTGTCTGCGATCTTACATATAAAATGATTCTATTGTGATCAGGCAAGGTTTTTATAGGTAGGATCATAGGATCTTACAATCTTACAATCAAGATCCCGATCTAGACAACTTTGTTTTCAATAAATTTAATAGTATATTGAGTATAAAAATAACTTTAATAACTAAATATATATAAAAACTAAAATTGGTACTTTGCAAAGGTCATTATGATTTTTAATATATTAAGAGAAAACGAATAGTGTAGAAAATATAAAAGATTGAAAATTTGTTATTATAAGACAAAACTGCACAAATGGTCCTTGGGATTAGTTGAAAATTGTCATTTTAGTCAAAAAAAGGTTTGTAATAGTACCAGAGGTCCAAACTTTTCATTTTGTTGCGCAAAAAAGCCTTTGACTATTTAGAGATAATCACCACGATCCTTTTCTTCTCTTATTTTTGTCGAGGCCCAAAAACCAAACACCCGACCTGCTATGCTATTTTCGATCTGCTTCACCCTCCCTGTTCTTCGTGTTTTCTGCTGGACAGAAGAGAGACAGCCGAGATCGATGACTGCTGCTGCTTTTCTTCGATTGGGTCTTCGTCTTATCAAATTTGATTACTTTTTCCTAAATGGGTCTTCGTCTTATCAAATTAAAACCAGGATCATTGGAGATTTAAAACTACTTATCATGGATCTGGAAATGGGTCTCGTCAAAATCATCTAAGGGTAAGATCAGTATGTTTATATGCTACAATTTGTTGATTTAGGGGTTCTTCGAATACACCCAATTGAGTTTTTGTAGTGTTTTGTTCTTCTGATTTTTACAGAAACAGTCATGGAGGGCAGTTTTGACATTGGCGTATTAAAGTTTGTGTGTTGTTTATGGAGATTTAAGCACATCACCATTATATGTGTTTAAAACCACTTTTGCAGAAGATATTAAACAGGTGGCAATGGTCATTGGAGGGGAAAAGGTAAGAGGTAAGGCAACAAGTTGGAGGGTTGCTTGGGGGCTGTTATGATGTTTGAGTGTGGTCATCGGAGGTGGGTTTGATTGAATTCATTGTTATGATGTTTCGTTGTTGTTGTATGTGTTTGAGGACGAGAACAACGAAGATGATGGTGGAGAACGATGACATGATTGGACCCGTTGATGAACAAAACTGGGTCGGGTACTGGAACTTTAGTTCGATCGACTGAGAAATACAAACGGTTAGCGCTTCGGGGTGACTTAATTTGAACTCGGATATCATTTGACTTTTCAGCTAGAAGCTTAGTAGCTTTGTGTTCCTCGACTGCAGTTCCTTTCGCCAGAAGAGTGTTGTTGCCGAGAGCTAAACACTTGAAGATGAAATTGAAGAGGCGAGAAGTCGTTTCCAGGTCTTTGTCAAATGAACCTCTCCGACAACCTATTCCGGCAATATCTGTGTGAACTCACACATCGACGTTTTATTTAA